TTTATTGTATTTTGTTGTTTTATTGTCATTTCTTTTAATCATTTCTATATATTTTTATATTTCAATTTCTTCTTTTTATTTGTTATTTGTTTTGATTGTATTTGTTACGAATTTGTATTTGTTAATTATTGTTGATTATACATATAAAAACAAATGATTTAGAATGTTTATATTGTTATTAATTAATATGATTAATTCGTTATTTCTTTATGATTTGTTTATTAATTATTTTAGTTTTATGTAAATTTGATTTATTATGGATATTATTTGCTATTTGTTTATTATTTATTTATCATTTTTATTCTTCTTCTTATTATTTTGATATTTATTTGGTATTATTTATTGGTATTTTATATTGATTATGTTGAAATTATGTTGTTTGTATTATGTTTTTAACATCATATTTATATAATTCAAAATAAACATAAAAGAATAGTAATGAAACATATTGTAGTTTTGAATTGGTTATATTCATCTGTTATTTCTATCTATTTATTCTGTTATTTTTATTTGTTTTATTCATTCATTGTTTTGATTTTATATGATTAATTATCTATTCATTTGTTGGTCGATTTATTCATGATTTTTAGTTATATTCATTTTGATTTATTATGGTTGTTTTGAATTATTTCATCATTATTATAAATGAATGATATTGATAATTAATTGAATTGAATAATTAAAATGAAATGTACTTGAATGAATGTATTGAATATCGAATAATATGTTATTTTAATAAAACTATGCATTTTATTATCTTTTTATATTTCACTCATATAATAATAAATAGTTAATAATTGAAGTTAGTATAACATTACTAAATTAAATCATTTTCATTTATTGTTATTTGAAATAAACTTGTTTCATTATTAAAATATTAATTTCATCATTTTTGTTATTATTTCATTGTCTCATAATTATTACACCATTTTATTGTTTCATTTTATTCATTAATTAAATAATTAAATAAAATACGAGTGAAATAAATTATCATCAATTATCATGATGAATTAAATATGAATAAATACAAAAGAATTGATGTTTAATATTGTTATTTCATCACACAATTTTTGAACTTGATGCTAAGTGTTTAAAATGACATTATACAAAAATGATAATGAAAATGCATTAGTTATAAAGCAAATAATATTATTACTTGATAAAACTCCATCAACACTCTATTTTGAAAATGAAAATAATAAAAGAATAAATTAAAAATAAACAAAATGATTAATAACAGTTGTTATTACATATATTATCAATGTTTCAAATTAATACAATTATATGTTATTATGAACTGAAAGGTTATAGAAAAAAATAAATATATCATGAATTAATAGAATTGAAATGAATTTATTCTACAATTTCTATACAATAATTTGAATGATGAATTAATTCAAATAAATAATAAATTGACTATTGATTCATTTAATTTGATGATATAGTGTTATTTATTTTAAAATATTGTAAATATAAAACTCAATGATAATAATATATTATACTATAAAATAATTAAACATACTGATTTGAAAATTATATTATTTCAGCTAATTTAAAATAAAAGACGATTATTATTATTATTATAGATTTATTTTTATTCACATAATGATATTTATTTTCATATTTATGTTTTATTTATTATTTGAATGTAAATGAATATTTCTACTCTTATAACTGAATATAGTTTGTTTTTAACAATAGTTTAACAAGTTTGTTAGTTTTTATCATATTATCTATGTTAATATTCAATTATTATTCTTTCATTTGATTTTATTGACTTTGTTTTTATTAGAAAATGAAAGAGAAAATCAACCAATATAAAAGATGAATGAAATAAATATGAATAGTTAGTCAAACAGAATAATGAAATATTATCAGTTTATTCTTTAACAATCACTTCTTTCATTAACCAAACAACTTCCTTTGGTGTTTCTTTGTGGTTTCTAACAATTTCATTGATTTTTCTTGAAAATACAACAAAGAATATAACTGTCAATACAATCATTCCAATCAAAACAATGATGTTAATAATTGTGAAGTTGAATGATGGAGTTGATACGATTTCTACAATATCATGAACAACAGTTCCAAAGTATGTATGAATAACAATTAAAGGAATTATACCAATCATTGTAGAAATGAAGAAATGAGAGGGATCAACAAATGGGGAGAGGATGTAATTTGAAATGGTGAAAGGGATAATTGGACACATTCTGTATAAACAAAGTAAATATGTAGAATCATCATTTAACAAAGAAATGAAATTATTAATCATTGGATGAGATTGGAGATAATCAATTACGTATCTTTTTGCAATATATCTTCCAATACAATAAGGAACAACGCTACCAACAAATCGTGAAATAACATTTAATACTAATCCTTTTGAATATCCAAAAATAAATCCACCTGCTAATGTTAAAAATGTGATTGGTAAAACTATGAATTAATGATATGATAATTGGTGTTGAATGAGATAAATCAAAACAAACAAATAATTAATCCAATTAAATTCAAAATAACAAATACAACCATTGATAAATATGAATCTTTAATTGAATCAAGATACATAACACATTGTATCATTATCTCTTTTAATGGATTTCTAGGAAGATTCATTAAAACCGAAACAAATAACAAGAATGTTGGAACACAAAGAATGATTATTCTTTTTTTAATTTCATTCAAACTACTTTCTTCGATTCGCATTTCTTTCTTTTTATTTTCTTCTTTCTTTTATATTCATTCTATAATTAATGAATCAACCCAGGATAAATAGAAATGTCTTTTCATTTAATATATAATATCACAAAATATTAACAGAATTATCAAAGATAATGTTGTAAAATGAATGATTAAATTAATGAAAAATCATCACATTTTCATATTCAACGATGAAATGTTGAAAATTTATCTTGTATCTAAACTGTGAATTTGTACTTTATGCTGATTATTAAATTAATCATCTTCTTGCTTGTTATTTGTTCTTAATGAATAAAATTAAATAGAGTGTTTAACTATAATCATTCATACTATTATTAATAAACAACAAATTGATAAAAAGATATTATACCAACAATAATTGGTTCATAAAAAGAAAACAATACATGACAAATTTTATTTGTGTTTGTAATAAATGAATATATTAAATGTGTTAATTTGAATGAAGAGAGAACACCGATTTAATACAGTAAATTGAAATAATTAAATAATAAGTAAACATGAAATACAAATATTTAACACCAGAAGACGAACATTTTGATTAAAGAATGACAATAATAATAATAATGAAAATGATTAAAATAATTTGAAGATAGATAATTCAATTGCAATTAATAATTGACAACTTTAACATTCTTTGATTGTATGTAATAACATTCTATTATTCATATGATTATTTCTTTATTCATACTTTCTCTTTTATTTTATTTTTATTCTCTTAGTTTTTTGAGTTATATTGAATAAAACAAAGTATTTGTTTATTAACGATATAAATATAACAATCGTTATATTTTAATTATTCAATACCATTTTTCTTGATTTTATATGATTACTGAAGATACTTCTCTTTCTATTTCTCACTGTTTTTACTTCTTTTATATTATCTTTCATTATCACTGAGAAGTTATTTTCTTGTTTATTCATTATTTCTTCTTCTGTATATTTTCTTTTCTAATTTTCACATTCTTCTCATTGTTTTCAATAATTTCTTCATTTATTTTCATTTCTACATCTTTTAAATATTCCTTTCTATCAGCTCTTTCACATCCATTTCTGTCATACAAATACACATTCATTTCATCATATTCAATAGTAATAATTCATGTTATTGTTCAATGTTTCATCTTTTCCTTCTTTTAAAGTTAGTTTGAGATATACATAGAATTTTCATTCCATTACCAATAGAATATTTCATAAACTACAAATAACTTCCCATTTTTGTTTAACCAAAATGACAGATGTCTTTGATAACCATTTATTTTATGTAACTAAATAACATAAATATTAACTAATGTTAAAATGAGTTATTACAATTAAACTCATTATTTAACTTTTCTAAGTCTTACAACTCCAATAAAAACAATGATATACCAAAAAATAAATCATCATTAACTTACTGATTACTTTTATTTGTTTTTATAATATCCCGTTTATTTCCACTTAACTTCCTCTTTTCTTTATGAGTTT